ACTTTTTTGGGGGGGTAAAATTAAGCATGCATCAAATGAAAGATTTCAGGCTAAATCAAATTTCCATTAGAAAAGAGATTTTTTACAATTTTCTTTTAGGTGTAGGGTGAAGTTAAATCTAGAATATTCCAGAACGTTTTTGATATTTTTTTGAACGATCTAAACTGTGATGGAAATAGTATTTTAATTCTATAGAGTTTTATAACTTCCTGGATATTTTCTCAGAATCTCTTAATGACTTTTCTACACATTTCTTGAAGTTTTTAGATTATTCTAAGAAGATTGATTTTTTTTACAACCGTTTTAGATATAAATGAATGTCCTTATTTTGCGTTTTCCCCATTACCTTAAATGAGTTTCCCCAAATGTTGGGAAAAAAAAAAATTGTTTAAAGTCTCTAGAGAGTTCCAAAAATAAGTTCTTTTCACAATGGCTTCAGAAATATACACAGAAATGAAGTTTTAAGGATTTATTAAACTTTACGTTCTAAATGTATTTATACATATCGGACAATGTTAGCTCCCTATATTAGAGTACGATTAGGTGTATGGTATGAATCAGAATAAAATTTAAAAAAAAACAAGATCCTACCTAGGAACTTGATGCCACCAGGGAATCGAATTCATTAATCTTCTTATTTAGTGATGACTAATAGACAGCGGCGTAGCGTGGGTATCGGCCGCCCGGGGCGGAAGACAGTTTTGCCGCCCTCTTATTTAGGTATTTCAATTTAATGTATACTATACATTACATGCATTAACTCTAGAGAACTTTCCGGCAAGAGCAGTCATCATTATTTTGCATTACACAGGGTAGATTTTAAATAAAAAAGTTTATCTAACTTTTACAATCATGTTTATTAATACAAAAATTATTTTACTTCAACCACCCATTGTTTTAACAGGTACAATACCTATCCCTTAAGATTAGGTACAACTTGACGGTCGACAAGATTAAATAATTAGCTAATTGAATATAAAACGCAAATTAATTTTTAATAAAAACTAGAACTTTACTATTAATCATGTATTTAATATTTATATTTTTATTGAAAAATAATCTATTCTGAGAATAAAAACCAACTTCCGTCTTAAAAAAAAAATATACGTCTGCTTTTTTTAAAGGGCAAAGTCCTTTATTGCACCATCAATGTCTATAGCATCACGCACATCTTGCTCAATAGACAAGATAGCCAAGTTAGATAGTCTTAAAGTGCTCAGTGTTGATCTTAAATAGTTTTTAATCAACTTTAATTTTGAAAAACTTCTCTCACAGCTGGCATTGCTTATGGCAAATGTGAAAAATATTCGTAACATCATTAAAATATTGGGCAAAGGATCTTCCAGCTTGGATTTTACAATAAATTTAAATAATTCAAGTGAGTCTGCATTGACTCATTTATTTTTGTTGCCTGTAGCAGCAACAGAAGACCGCAGTCCAAGTCGTTCCAGATTGAAATCCAGCTCGTCAATTTCGATAGATGCGTGGTTTAGATTACATTTAGTGCCGTCTGGATCTAATAATATAGCCGGCGTTAGATACACAAACTTATCCGTTAAATTCTTTAGCTGCTGAAAACGCTCACGAATTTCTACAATGATTCTATCTAACGAAGAAAACAGCTCTCATCTCAACTCATTTTGACAAGATAAGTTAGCATCTCTAGTTCCGTCATCAAAAATATGTCTTTTTGTTTTGCACTTCTGAGGTTCTATGGAAATTCCAAGTTCTCCACACATATTTTTTGCATAACTTACAGCGCTATCTACCTATTCCTCTCGTTTCTCTGTCAATATCATCTGCAAAGCATTTACTTTCTGAGTGCACATTCTTAAGTCAAGTCCGTTTGTTTGTAAATATCTTTGTGCATCATTCACTTCATGTAGCACCGGTTGCCAAAGGCCCAAGAAACAAAGAAAGGAAAATGACTGGATCATTGCTAAAAAAAGCGCCTGCATCTGACCTAGTGTTTAAGCTTTCATCTGCCTCTGTCAGTTTTTTTTTCCAAAGTGATGAAAATGTCTTTGTAATGATGCCAAGTCATATTTACGGCATCGCCTCTTGCACTCCACCGCGTGTCTTGTACTCTTTTTAAGCTTTTGCCTGTAGCTGCTATCAGAACTTCCCAACGATGTGTACATGTGTAAAAAAAAATTAATTAACAACGTTCTAAAGTGCTAAAAAATGTTACTGAACTCACCTCAACTGAGGCAGCGTGTAAACAAACTAGGTTTAATGAATGATTTGAGCAAGGTACGAATTCAACTTTAGGGTTTATTTCTTTAATCCTTTGCTGAACTCCTGAATGCTTTCCAACCATAACAGCAGCATTGTCATTTGCTTGGCCTCTACAGTTGCTTATATCTAGGCCATCAACTTGAAGCTTGTTCAAAATCATCTTTGAAATTCCTTCAGCAGTTATGCCTTTAGCTTCAATGAAATCTATAAAAGATTCCACTACTTTTACTTCCTGATTTTCAATTATTACATATCTTAATACCTGACTTGTTTGATCTTCATGAGAAAGGCCTGGAGTGCTGTCGAAAACAATCGAATACTACTTAGCCTTTTTTATTTGTCCGATGATATGTTGGCGAACATTATTTCCAAAAATGGCAATAAATTCGTTTTGTATTTGTGGTGACATATAAGTGATTGAAATTTTCCCACTTATTTTAGATCTTACAAGATGTTCACGAAGTACATGATCGTATTTTGCAATGAGATGAACCAACTCTAAAAAGTTTCCTCTATTGGTACTGGTGTCATTTTCTATATGTCCACGCAAAGCTAAATTTTGTCTGGCAAGGAATTTTCTAATATCAAACATTCTGATAAGAATTTCCTGCCATTTCTTTGTTTCCTTTGCCACTATGTTTTGCTCTTTCTTGTCAATAGTCTGTCAATAGTCTGTCAATAGTCTGTCAATAGTCTGTCAATAGTCTGTCAATAGTCTGTCCTTTTTGAAGTCTGGGCTCCAACTCCTTCCATTTGCAATAATTTTGGTTGTGTAGTGCACTTGATTCGTGGCTTGAAACCTTAGGATTTAACTTCCACCAAGTATTAAATCCATCAGATGAGCAAAATTTAGATCCATTCGGTGTATTTACGTTCTCAAATAAATGACAGCAAAAGCAAAATAATGATTTTTTGGATGGAGAATAAGCCATCCAAGTACGTAAAACTTTTTCGACGTTAGTGTACGGTAAAACCATTCCTGAGTAAGCCGTCTTGTCTCTCCTTTTGTTGTTAAGGAGCACGAATCTGAACGTATTACTGTTGACGTTTAAGCGAAGTTAGTATTAATTAATAATATGCTGAACAATTTCCTGTCCTTGCTGAATGAGCTTCAATCGCATATTGTCGTCTATGTGTTCAGGCCATTTTCCAATATCATCGAAATTTTGGTATTGAGTAGCAGACAATGCCAATGTTTTTCAATCTCTGTTTCGGAACTATGCATGTCCATGTCTAGGATTAACAGTGTCAAATTCTTGTACTTTTTCAGCTTGTTCTAGGTTTGAAGGCCCAGTTGTCTGTTATGAATTTAAGCCTAACGTGAAATTTGACGTCTCAGGAACAACACTTTTCACATATTTAAGTAAAGCCCCTTCATTTGCTCTAATATTTTCCAACTTAGCTCTTCTCTTATTACGGTAAGATGCCCCACTTTCTTTTACTCGTTTCATTTTTGATTCTAAAACAAAAACAAATATTACATGATAAAAGTACAAGTTAGAGTCAGTCATAAACGAAACTATCGAACATTTCAAAATAAATACCTACTAATAAATAAAAATGAATGACTTGCTTTACTGAAATTTTCTGTTTTTTAGAGTTTCGTACCACAAAAGGAATAAACGGAACCTTTATAGGATCATTTCATTTTTCGCAGGAACGAGTACCTACACATATCAAATTGAAATGTATATCCCTTTAAACTGTGAAATAATCAAACTTGTAGGTCAACGCGATCAGATATGACCATTTATGTTGTAAAATTTGGCAATTTTCGTGATATTACAAGGTAATCAAAACCTACAGGATAAGTCCCTTTGGCCTATAAACATAAAGATATACCTAGGCAGGTATATTACAGCACATCTATCTATAGGGAAAAATCTGAAAACCGTGAATATTTGTACGGAACCCTTAGTACTAAGCACTTGGCCGGTTTTTTTTTATTTTAATAAATTAAAGCTTGGACAACATATCAGACAGTCCAACATACAATTGCATAAATAAAATACCTTTTTAATACTCACAGAGTTGAATGTTAGTACACGTAGGGGAAAAATTAAATTTTTCACAAAGTTCAATAATTTCACAATAACTGCACGTACTTATTTCATATAAATAATAATTAATTTATTAATTATTCCTTACCGAATTTGTAGTTGCGGTAAAATAAAAATATGAAATGGTTCAGATATTTTCATTATTTATTGTGAAATTTTGCCGCCCTCTAAAAAGTGCCTTCCAGGTCGGACCGCCCCTGCCGCCCCCATTACGCTACGCCACTGCTAATAGATGATAGTATTGATGGCAACTTCTAAAGCCTTTGTCATCCGATCAAGATGACGTTTATTATTTTAAAAAAATGAATTATCTTTGCTTTTATCCTATCATTGGTAGGAAGGCCAATGTTTATTATCTTACTTAGGATTTTGCTTATGTATAAATTTAAATCATTTCATTTTATAAGCATTGGTGCTGAGTCACTCATACAACGATAATATATTATTATGACTAGGTTGGTTTTGGAGAATATATGCTAAAATGCAAGGATGACGTATATATGGACGATGGTGATACTTAATTTTAGCAATTAATTATTAATATTTGTTTTAATTTTTGAAAAATATCAATGTTTCAATTTTGCAGATTAATAAGACACGAACAAATTGTCTCAATATAACAATATTTACTTGTTTACTTGTGTATAATGTATAATTATTATTAAAGCACAATTACTATTGTTATATTGACACAATTTGTTCGTGTCTTATTAATCTATTTTAAAGCTGTATTGCAGTCCAACACTTTTTATAATTCAATATTGCAACACCCTGTTCCATTTCATTGGTGGAGACAGTGAATTGTATGGGTGTGTAATACTCCACATTTCCGAGTTCCGGGAAGCATCCGGCTAAGCCTTAGCATTTACAATTTAAAGTATGTTAATTAAATGATATTAATTTCTTACTTATGAATATACATTGCTCATTGAAGTACTTGAAATCAACAAATACATATGAAATACAAAAGTAACTGTTTACTCTGCCATGCATTAGATCTAATTTAAAAGCGATATTTTTGGAGGAAAAAAAAATCTTTATTTACATATTATATTTTTTTGCATATCAAGAAAAGCTAGTAAAAATCAGAATCACAAGCTCAGCACGAAACTGACTCAAGAAACCTTAAGCATCACGAAACGTAATTATTTGACAATAGCATGCAACTCTTGTACAATAAATTTATAAAAATTGATTAAAAAACAGGCATCACACAGTGTTGACTTATTTCTTCTAAATTTAAATGGACACTTTTTTTTCAAAAAGACACACAACAGTGCTCATAAAGATTTAGAACATAGACTAGGTATGTACGGTTCTGGTGTTTAGAAGTCTTACATTTAATAAACCTTTATTATTGAAAATGAAAAAAAAAATCTTTTTTTAATTTTTGCTAGGGAAGAAACTTAATCGTTTTACCAGTATAACGTTTTTTGAAGAAGGTATTATTGCAAATGGCTCGCCATTCTTCATTGCTTATGAACCTAAATTGTATAATAGAGCAGAATAGAAATGCATTTTAAACCTAAAAGTATTATCAAACATTATTTAACACCTTGCAAAACATGTGTTATGTTTTCTGCGGTACATTAATTAAAAGCAAAGTTATTGCACAAGCAATTCTGCCGATTTTATGTGGTAAAATTTGTTTCAATTATTGTAGTTGTCATTTTTTGTGATTATTTTTGCTGTTTCATACTATGTTCAGCATTTAATTTTAAGTCGTTATGTCACATATGATTCATTAATTGTCGCTCAATTTTTTTCTAAAAAGCTTAGCAATCTTAATGTCCATTTTCAGATGCAAGTTGCAGCGCACTTTTACCATCAGGTGTCTTCTTGTTAACTTCAGCTTGATTTTCAATAACCAGTTTTACCACGATTTCATTGCCTTTCTAAGAGGCTACAATTAATGCGGTCATGCCATCCCATGTCGCATTAACTTCTGCTCCATTTTTTTTTTTTTGATCTCCAAAAATATTTCTTCAAAATCATCTAATTCTGCTCGTTTTATCAGCGGGCTCCGCTTTCAAGTGTTGTGGGCTTAACTTTGTCCTCAGTTGTATCCGAGACACGTACAGTTTTGTCGTCGTCGGTTCGACTTTTGTTCAATAACGCGGTCTCTGCTGAAGGGCTTTCTGGGTCAGTTCTATTGATGTTATTTTTTTCTTTACCAGTTTCAGGCTGAAATATAAAAAAAAAGCCCACAAAGTTGAAAAAAACATTAACAACGCAACAACATAAAATATATTTAAAAAAAATTAACAACAGATAAACACAATTTTCATATAGTTGTCAGGTCAAATTAAGATACACAAAATAACGTTAGCACGGTATTTCATCTCTACTGCCAAACAGTATGGATTTCTTTCTTTAATAACATTGAGCGCATTGGGTTTTAACTATTGTGCTACATCTACTTCATTTTAATTTTAAACACATGCTTCTTTTCATGTTTGATTTCTAATTATTTGTTATTTCTCGTTTTCCTCGTATGCTAAAGAAGTCTTCTAGGCAAAACGTCGCTTTAATTGTTTCACATGAAACCAAAATAGTTCCACTTCCTCTACTTACTTCACAAGTTTTGACGCAGTTCCTCATTTATTTTGATTCAGACAAGCAAACTTTACAATACTCCCAAATAAAGGGAAATCGATAAGTTCTTTGAAAATGAAAATTGGAAAACTTATTTTGAACATGACAAACGAATATACCTTGAAAACCCTTTATATCACACAAAGGACGCTGCCAACAAAACTATTTTTAATCTAAAATTTCTCTTATAGACAGTATAGATGTGCGATTCAGGTGAGCAAGCGTTAAAAAAGGGGTACGCATTAAAAGCTGTATGCTTCATTTTAAAGTCGCTCAAACAGTCATACGCAAGGACATTTTTTGATTGTGTAAATAATACAAATAAAGGACAGCAAGATCTGATGTAAAATGAAATTGACAAATTTATCGTTATCTACATCTCAATTTTAACACAGCAAAATCTATTCAGTGCTACTGTGAAAATATTATAGAAATTTTCAATGGTAAATATGTCAAGTTCTAAGTTCTTTGGAGTTTTCATAAAAAATAGCCCCTTCTTTCGTTCATTGAATGCAAATATTTTTATTTTTGTCTTCACATTAATGTTTATGAATATAAAATGTCCTACTTTTGTGGCAAAGCTTCCTGAAAAAAATATACTATTTTTTAAAAACAATTTGGCTTTATATATTATTTTCCCCAAATAATTTTTTTTTTCTTTTCAATATCATAATAATAAACAAGCTGTCCTAAATTATTTATGTGAATGAGTTTTTAAATGTAATTTTTCATGCTGTGAATTCAGTAAAAAAATTATATTTATAAGACAAAAATTATAAGGAAAAAAAAAACATTTACAATGTTAATTTCATTTTTGTAATCCCAATCCAAACCCGGTATTAGCACAAATTGTTTTAAAACCTTCAATTTTAAAATATTTTATATGGATTTTGTAAAAAAAAATTGTTAAATTAGATCGTATAGATAATATGCGATTAATCAAAAAAAAAAATTACTGCTGCTAAAAATGAAAAAATTAAAACATTCAACTCAACTGAATATTGAGTATTGTATAATTTATACATATGGATAAGATTTGTTTCAGATAAAAGAACACATTAAATATATGACGTCTTAAGAAAATAGCTTATGCCTCCTTCATATAATTATGCCATTGTTATACGATTTATAAATCAATACAAGTTTTAAAAATCATTACATTTTTAGAACTTTCTACAAAACATTTAATTTACCCCTTTGACTCTGGTAACGCTTCAAAATATTTAGAAAAGGTAATTATTATGTGGATTTTTTGTTGTTATCTATTTGCGTTCAACGTGTAAAATGATGTAATCAGTACTTTTTCTTATGGCTCTTTAGTTAATTGACAACGTAATTTTTAAAAAAAGATTCACTACTGTTGCTCTGAAATTAAATGTAGTATGATGCAAATCTAATTCAGCTATGTGCTAAATTGCATTCTGGCAAAAATAACTCATTAAATACTTTCAGGGGAGGGGATTAGAGAGTCCAGACCCCCAGACCCTGCCCTCGCTTTTTTTACCCAGGAGTCTTCGGCACACTCTGCTTTCCAATTTCCTCATTTCAATCAATGTGAAAGTACTGTGTGTATTAAAACTTGTGCCAAAATTTTACCCTGGGTAGCGACAACCAGATCAAATTCACTATGTTTAAGTCACTGGACGTCACTATGCCTAATTTGCTCATGGATGCTAACAAAATACCCCCCCCCCCCCAACCCAGATTGTCTAATGGAAACGTTGAAATCAAGACAACGTTAAAATGTACTACTGGTATTTGAAATAATAAATACAAATTTGGGGATGGGTTCCCTAGAAAACTCCCACAATTTCATTCAAAGGCCGTCAGTGCCCTCAATTTCAGCCACACTTCCTAAAACAAATGACAGCGTAGTTTGCCGTTGTAACCAATTTTGGCGCCTAGCGGCATTTCTAGTGTAGTGCCTCACTTGGAAAGTGTGCAGTTCTTGCCTACTTCTATCCACGTTTGAAAATCCTTTAGATGTCTGAAAATGCCACCCATCCATATAAAAGTAGGGACAAAAGGCAGACAACTCCTCAACCCTCTTGCTACATCAATAGTACTGTCCACCCGAAAATCTGAAATGCACCCCCCTCCCGGAGGAAATTATCTACAACCAACTCTATGCATTCATTCTTAGGCATATTGATTCCTTTACTACTGACAATAAACTTTAAAAATCATTATTATTTTTTTTGTAATTACAATGGAAATGACAAATGTCTTGCTTTTAACCTTTGGACTAAGACTCAAATGTTCTGAACTTTAAACAGTCAAACAGTAATAAATCTCTAAATTGAAATGTTGATGATTTGTTTAAACATATACACTTTCCACATTATTCCTTTATGAACGCCTTCTACAAACAGATAAATAACGTTTTCACTTAAATGAACAATGTTTGTGTTATTTCCTCTACACGCCAGCTAATTATTTTTTGTGTTATGATATAAAGAACTGACATGGTGGACTAGCGCACTGGACCATCCCGATAGCCATCTAGGTCAAACAGTGCACATGCGCAGAGACGGTAGTCAGAGAATATGCTATTGAACAGTGTGTTGTGGACGTAAGCAGAAAGTCAACATTATCTAGAACGTGTGTTATGTGAATATTTATGTAATGTTTAATTGGTGTAAATAAAAACATAGAAAACTTAACAAGAACATTTTAAAATCCACAATGACAATTATTTGATAGGTCTTTGTAACTTTGCTCGTTTGAACATAAGAGTTAAGTTGTTTATTTCAAGATATAATGTGTTAAAATAATGTGCAGGTGTGCTTTAAATTGATGTTGAACCAACATTATACATACTTCAATGTCTGAAATTGAAAGGATAATTTTACAATTTCCAAACGACATACAATTCAATATAGCAAAATCAGCGTGAACTATAGCTAAGAATTGTGTCAAGCATTTTCGCTCCACATTGCTTCAGACACACAGAACCATTCTTTATGGTTTATTCTTTCTATATTCTAAGGCTGCAACAGGGCTCTATATTACTATGAAACACAAATAAAACATATTATGACCATAATAACAACAAACAAAAAAAAAGCGGTTTTATTGTTATAGCCCAAGAAAGCAATAAGAAATCATGAACTTCCCAGTCTGTAAATTTAAAAAATAAATAAATAAATAAAAGTCCTCTTTCCCTCCCAATAAGCACAAGCAAGCAAAAGCTAAAATCAAAAGTTTTTATTTTATTTGAATAACTATTGTTTCAACTTACATTTGGTTTAATCGTTTCAAAACAGACTGTACGTTTGCAGAGGAAGCATATGCAGCTAAAAAAAATTTAGTTTATTAAAAAGAAAATTAATAATAAAAATATCAGATTTAATTTATTAACAACTATTAATTAGCAATGTAAGGTCTTTTTCGAGATCGTTTTTTTTTTCTTCTTTTTTTTTTTTACTAATCAAAATTACATACAGAATTAATTTTTTTAATTTCTTTTATTCAACAAAATAAATTGCGGAACAACATACGTTTTATAGATTTAATTTATTAACAACTATTAATTAGCAATGTAAGGTCTTTTTCGAGATCGTTTTTTTTTTCTTCTTTTTTTTTTTACTAATCAAAATTACATACAGAATTAATTTATGTAAATTCATTGATTCAACAAAATAAATTGCGGAACAACATACGTTTTATAGAGTATGTCACATAATGTTTAATTTTTTGGTTCCCCTGTCGCTTAACAGTCTAGAAATGGACCATTGCACATTGTTTGTAGTTTCTATGTCAATATGGGGTTTTATATGGAATTTTTGGTATCATCATTTTGGGAATTTCTGGACTTTGCAGTGTATAATTGGTTTAAAAATCGGATAATAGATTCCTGAGATACGTGCTGGTGTTTGTTTTGTTTTTTCTTATGTAAATAGGCCGGTGAACGCAGTGTTGAAAAAACGGCATGTGTGCCCCTTTCTAGTGAGCTTCCAATCAGTATAGAAATATTAAGGCCAGGCCTTTGAGTAAACACTATAGAGACGCAGTAGCACATCCAGACTATTACAAGGCTGCGCTATACCAAGGCTCACTACTGCTCTTTGACACGGTTTTTGTTTACACACAGTGTGTGCAAGTGATTAAAAGACTGTTTCAGCTTGGCCTAAACTGCGCGACAGAACAAGTATCAAGCAAATAGGTGAACGACGAAAGAAGACGCGTCTTTATGGTACTGGTCGACGTAAACAGCGTCCACTGAAATACCGCAATGCGACAGCCGTGTCAACATTATTGCTGGTGGTGATCGTTTTGAAGAGCCTTGAGATAAAGCTTTCAGGAACGAGGTGGACAACGGAAATAAGCCACATACTGTGTCATCCATCTTGTCCATTCCTTATGTGTCAATGCTAAGGTCACAGACAGTGGCCCATGGTTTCACACCACCTCGTCGGGGCGTGACGAAATCAAATCTAGTAATTGTCGACTGTCAGCCTTTTGTGAGGCCGCAATCACTGCACTTCGGGGTGCTGTATTTCAACTCGCAGTCATGCACGAACAAGACATTTGAGGGGTGTGATCTTATTTTAGAGAGCAAGGCCGACCTTGTGTTCATTACGGAGACGTGGTTTAAACAGGTTGGAGATGAGGTCAATTTGCAAGAACTTACAGATCCGGACTACCTCCATCATTCTTGCCCAAGGCTGTCACGTGGTGGCGGAGGTATTGCTATCCTTTACAGGAGCTCCCTCAAGAATAGTACGGCGTTTTCAAAATCAGACCAGTTTGTTTCATTTGAAATATGCAAGATGCAAATTAATTATTGTGACCAAGCGATTACGCTTCTGTGCATATACAGGCCACCTCCCAAAAATTTAAATAAGTTGAAGGTCTCCCAGTTTACTGCTGAGTTTACAAAGAACCTAGACACGTACGCCTCTACCAATAACAACGTTATAACAATCGGCGACACAAAATACCATTTCTATTCCACTACCGACAGCTGTGTCTCAAGTCTTTAATCAGCTCTTGACACATATGGTATGATCAAGCTTGTCAGTGTCCCGACACAGAAGCGGGGTCACATCCTAGATTGGCTAGTTGTCAGAGAGGACAGTGCAGCTATGATCCCCAACCTTATTATTGAAGAGAAACTGATCTTTGATCATTTCTTACTATTCTTGGACTTGAGGAAGCCAGGGCGCCTCCTGCGCACAGTCACATCAAGTTAACTCTGAAAGATAGATCTAGTGGCCTTCAGATGCGACGTCGCCACCGTCAATCGCAGTGAAGAAGACCCTGTGACAGACTACAACAATGGTCTTAGAGTCATCATAGACTAGCATGCACTTCTGTCCACACGGCGCGTTACGGATCTCCCTTCTGCCCTATGGCTCACGCGCGAAATTAAGGTTGGAAAGCAGAAGAAGCGATGTGCAGAACGCAAATGGCGGAAGTCGGGCTTGACCGTGCACCGACAAATTTTTGTTGATCACTGGGAACAAACTAAGAAGTTGGTCCTTGCAGCTGGGACTGAGCATGTTAATCATCAGATTATAGATTAGCAGCTGAAGCAAAGCAAGGACTTATTGTGTATAGTGAGTCAGATGACCGTTTAACATAAGGATACATCTATGCCAAATAACATTGCTGTAGGCGTGCTGCCACACGCTCTAAATGAGTTATTTCTTACGAATGCTACGACGATCAGGGCGAGACTTGATGCTGCATAAGAATTCTCACTTGTTAGCGGTTCTCCTATGTGTAAATTTGTTGAGGTTAATGAACTGAACGTGAGTAAAATCCTGGTTGAAACCCCAAGAAGGTCATGTTCGATCAACCCTGTTCCAGCAGGGCTGTTGTATGAATGTTTTGATGAAATATTCCCCATTATAACTGGTTTCATAAATCAGTCATTGACAAATGATATTGTTCCATCCTCTTTAAAGAGGCGGCTGCAACTCCACACTCCACAGTTAAAGAAAGCAAATCTTGAAACAAATGTGATGGAAAATTATCGTCCTGTCTCAAATCTACCATTTGTTTTCAAATTGTTAGAAAAAGTCGCTCTCCGCCAATTCCTGGATCACCTCATTCAGTGTGACGTGCTTGAACCTTTCCAGTCAGCAAACAGGGCGCATCACTCTACTGAGACAGCCCAGTTGCGCGTCGTAAACGACCTTTAGTCGTCTTTTGATGAGGGCCAGCTATTCATTTTGTCATTAGGGTAATAAGGGGAGAGACTGCTGTTTTGTTACGTTTAATTTTTCAGGTTTAACCATACTCTGTTTTACTCATTTCATTTTGTCATTACTTAATTTATCGACAACTTTCGACACGCTTGACCACGGCATACTTCTCCAACGTCTGCAAAAAAAAAAAAAAAAAAAAGTTCGGACTCTCACCGATACTATCCTGAAATCGTTCCGCTCGTATCTGACAAATCGGGTCCAATCAGTTATTTCAAACGGCAATTTTGTCATTAGGGTAATAAGGGGAGAGACTGTTTTTTTGTTACGTTTAATTTTTCAGGTTTAACCATCCTCTGTTTTACTCATTTCATTTTGTCATTACTTAATTTATCGACAACTTTCGACACGCTTGACCACGGCATACTTCTCCAACGTCTGCAAAAAAAAAAAAAAAAAAAGTTCGGACTCTCACCGATACTATCCTGAAATCGTTCCGCTCGTATCTGACAAATCGGGTCCAATCAGTTATTTCAAACGGCTTGACCTCAAATCAATCTATTATCGAATTCGGAGTACCCCAGGGCTCGATCTTAGATCCGGTGCTTTACACTATGTAGGTTAGCCCCTGGGTGCAGTGATCAAGCAGTTTGACATGGTATATCACATGTTCGCGGATGATACCCAAATTCATCAATCCGTGATCCCTTTGAGCTCCCTCAACTTCTTAGTACGACACAGAAGAAAGTGGAGTCAGTTCAGCACTGGATGACAATCAACAAGCTAAAATTGAATGAAGAAAAGACTGAGCTGATCCCCATTGCCACCACTCAGAAGCAAAAATCTGTAAATAAGACAACATCACTTACTCTCTTAAGTGTGCGGATTGAATTATCTCAAACAGTGCGTAACCTGGGTGTCTAGCTAGATAGAACACTAACTTTGGAAAATCAGATTTAAATGATTTGCAAAACGAATTGTCTAGAGTTGCGCTGGATTAGTCATATCAGACTTGTCCTAACTTTTGACGCAACAAAGAGGCTGGTGTCTGCATTCGTGGACTACTGCAATGCTCTCAAGGTGGGTCTTCCAGCTATGCTCCTTGATAAAATTCAAATAGTACAGAATAATGCGGCTCGCATTGTTCTTCGCAAACGCAAATTCGACCATGTTAAAACACTTCTGAGAGAGCTGCATTAGTTGCCGTCCGCGCTCGCATATAGTACACAATTGCAACTTTGTGTTGCCACTGCTTACATGACCTGGCGCTGTCCTATCTCAAAGCGCTACTTACGCCTTATTAAACCAAATGAAAACTCAGCTCATTCGATAGTAGTAGAATATTGATACCGCGTGTTTGCCTTGAGACTTACGGAAGGCGCACTTTCGCATTTGCTGGCCCAAGAAATTGGAACGCCCTTCATGTCGCTCTTAGAAACAGCCAGACACTGGCCTCCTATCAAACCGATTTAAAAACACATCTATTTCGCAAAAACATCTGGGGTGCTGTTATCTACCATTTTATTCCAGTTAATGTATATTGGCTTGTGTTGTTTATGGTTGAAAGGGATGAAAGCCCTTGACTTGGTATTCTCGTATGTAGTTTTTGTAATGTTATAGATTGTTTTTATTTCTCTTTTTAAATAGGATTTACTTTGTACCCCGCTTCGAGCTTTTGGGAATGAAGCGTGTTTTTCAAATAAACGTTATTATTAGTATTATATTATATACATAAATCATCTTATTTTTAAGCAATAAAATTTTATTGTGTTATATATATATATATATATAAAAAAAACATTACCCAACTATGATGCCAACGCCAAAGCCAACGCCAAAAACTATTCCAATTATTAGGCCTGTATTGTCGTGATGGTCAACTTTTTCCGAGTAAGCTAGATTGAAAAAAGTACTACTTGTAAAGACAATTAAAAAAACTATGAGATCAGTTCGAAGTTAACCTTCCGGCGGGCCTGCTCTTTTTGTTACGGGACCGGCGCATGGAATCAATTTGATATCGCTGGTCGATTTTTTTGAATTTTATTAACATTTTGTAAAATAATCTATTTTTAAAAATAATTTAACCAATATACACAGTAAAATGAATTGCAAATAAAACACTTTTTTTGAATTTCTTCTATATCCTTGAGATTCCTTAAATCAAATATTTTCCTAGCACCCGCCCTGTTAGACAGCAGAGTTAACCTGAAATGTATAAGGAGCAGTATGAAAATCTCTTCTTTAAGCATGTATCATTTTAATTTTTACTATGTAATAAGAAGATGATGTATGGCTATGTATATACAAAAGAGTAACTTACACGAGCAAGAAAATAATACAATTGTCAAACGTCAAATAAGTAAGGTGAAAAAAAAAACCGCTGAACTCTGCACTCTGAAAGCGTTTTCTACACGCTGAACGGTCTTGGCCTATAAAGTTAATGAACTTTTGAGCTACTGATAAGAAGAGCTCGCTGTCATCTCTCATTAGCGTGTGCGAGACAAAAACGGTTGGATTGTAACAATCTGATCCAGCGTTCCGAACTGAAGGTTAATCTGGAAAACGTTAGTTCTGCTAAGGCTAATAACAATATTTCCTGTCTGCAGGCTAAAACAGAGCTTTAGATTAGATAGTGTCAACCGCAATTCCAGAGTCATGTGTCAGGGTATGAGCAATTTAATGGTATATGTTTCTTAAAATATCAATTTTCTTGAGATTTATAAGAAGCTTGGATATCTGTTAGCTGTTGCTATTTATTAAATATGCACAACAAGCTTAGCAGGCTAAAAGGAGAAACAAGTCAATGGAGGAGAACAAGACAAAAACTCATAACAATAAATGTGGATAGTAGGAACAGTGTCTATTTCTCAAATATTCCATATTTAATTCGAGTGTTTTATGTCATAGCAATACTAATAATGCAATTATTTGTGAAACGCTGAGCCCTGTTACCCAATATTAAAGAATAAACGGCTGACCAACCGGGACGACCAGTTTATATTCTTCAAGGCTATTCATTTTCAAAAACAAAATACACGCTTACTGTTTAACAAAGAAAAGCAATTAAGAAATTAATATGCCATTCAAATATACAAAGGGGGTTGTTGTTTTTTTTTAAATAAAGTTTCTATAACAAGAAAATATTGTTAAAAATACATATTAATATTACTTACTCATATTAATTCTACAGTTTATAGTCTGGTATTCTCCATCCAGTCTGCAGGACGCATATTTAATAGTTACATGCAGTTCTTCAGCTTGTGTTGTCTTTCTGATAAGCTCCACACGATCTTCCCCATTTATTTCAAAAGCTTTGTCCAAGAGTATTTCTATCACACAAGGCTTGGCAGAACTAGTACATTTAAACACAAGATTTAGTTCACTGGTGTCAATAATGGCAGAACAAGATGTATCTGTTGGTTTAATTTGTCCATTTATGATCAGTTGACCAGTTGTGTTTGTTGGTTCTGTGAGAAAGGGAACAAACATTATCTTGTAAAATTGACAGAATTGCACTACCATTTTTTTTTCTTTCAGTTCTTGCCAGCGGCGTCACTGGGGGTTGCAGGGGTGTGGACTGCTTTAGTTGAAACCCACAGAGGAGTGTGACACCATGTGGAAAGGGAATGTTTACATAATTTTCTCTAGTCGGTTTCATAACAGACTCAGTCCAATACAAGAACAAGTGCCACCAGAAAATTGTGTAGCATGGTTCTGTCAAGGTCATGAAACCTTGGAGAGTTTGTGTGTTGTGATTATGTGACAAATGGGGTAAGTGAGCGAGTGTGAACTCTCATAACGTCAAGGGCGGATGCATGGATTTTTGGAGGATCTAAAAAGCGATCCACTGTTTTAAGAGGGTGATTGTATTATGTTGACGGCCGTGAAAGTGAACTAGGAACTTTGAGGAGTGTGTGAGATAGTGCGAGCAACAGCGAGACGTGTCTTTGTTTAGATAGAGCCACTAAGAGATGTTTTGCTGAGGAGATATAAGTTATTGATATGAATTCATGTCTCAGCTCAATGTGAACCAGATGGACTTACTAATGCTGTTAAAAAATAAACGCCTTATGTACCATAAAGCTTTAGTGTTGGTTGAATCAAACTGGTCCGTGGTATGACCAATAAAGAAAGACCAGGTGGAAGCTGTGACATGAGAATATGAGAGACCAAATAGGCGCCATCAGAATAAGACGTGAGATGACGAAATTTTGACAGGTTCAAACCGAAAAAGGATTTCACAAGAACAGAATGCCACCAGCTCAGGCTAGCACCAGAACAGACTGTCCTCATACAAATCAGGGTAGGTTGCAAAGATAACGGGGGATCAAATATCAGGTCATCAGAAGAAAAATGTGTCGCTAGATAGAGCAGGGTGTCACCAGACAGCGTAGGGTGCAATCAAAGTAGTTTGCTTCAAGAAAAGGCTACCTCTGGATAAGATTGCTGTCTTAGCAGGTTGACAATATAGCAGGTTGCAAACAGAACAGGGTGTCAGACAAAGCGGGGGGGGGGGCGGCACCAGACCATGGTTGGGAATCCCTACAAATTTTCTGATTAAGGTGCAATTATAAATAGCACTGTGTCTGTCTGTAAATTTACGCGACAAGAGCTTTTTCAAAACTGATACTATTTACTATCTAAGCAAAAATTTCTTGTCTTGGGATGTTTTCATCATAGCAGGTTGCCATTAGGACACGGTTTCACCGATACAAATATGTCACCTAACCAGGATTGACAATCTCTCCCAGACCTCACATCAAGCTCAATTGTTAATCACGATATATGTGTATGAGGTAGAGAAAAACGAAGTGCGGTTTCTGCGCCAAAAGTTGCAATTTCAACAGTTTCGTTCTTGGCCAAAACATAATAGTTATATTAAATTTAATTTCGGTTTCAGCCGAAAGTGATTGTGGCTTTCCATCGTCTACAAGAAATCATACTTTGACGATCTGTCGAAGGCAATGAAACATTTATTTTACCTCAACGTCTTCCTGTATGGCGTGGTGTACGAATAACACACTGCGAATTTTGCTAACAGCGGCATGATGACCTTCTTGTTCTATTATATTAAAAAAAAATTAATTAGGGTTAGGCTAATTAAAAAGTTTTAAGGGAAAATCTAAGGGAATGGTATTATTATTTTTTATTGATTTTTATAAATGCAATTTGGGAGCCTTAGGTTATTTAATGTGTTCATTTGTGACATTCCTTTTGATTTATCATTAACATACTCATAATGGGCACAGGCAAAGTTATAAAGTATTGTAAAAGAAATATCCTAGGGAATCGTAACCTTTCAATTATTATTTTTTAAAAGAACACTTTTTAAAAAAAATTAAGGAACCTTAGGCTTATTTAATTCATTATTTATATAAATGCACCATTGTCATACTGATAAACATTGTCATGGACAAAATAGCATACATGTGCATGTAATCACTGTTTTGTATAATAATTATGCAATAGGCCTACTGGCAGACCTGTTAACTATTACGATTTTGGCGTACAATGTATGATTTATTACATGTCTTTTACGTTTTTACCCTGAGACGCGTAAGAACTACGATTTTAAGGAATCCGGATAACAAAAATAAATTCCCCCTTACCAAAGAGGGCGAGGGGTGGTTGGTCGCCAAACAATAATCAGGATAACTTTTGTAGAACTTATGCATAGATGTACGTACATTCTGCCGACACAACGTCCCTTACGCTTTTGTACTCATCCAAGTTGCGTACATCATATATGGACTGCCCCTTTACTTGATTAGGGTGCGGGAGGCGTATATAAAAATGTTGATTTTTGCGTAAATTTATTTGGATGTCCCAATGTCCAGTCAACTCTGGCATTCAAACTTAGCTACATTGACAGACGTGCGCATTGCATAGATTATTAACCCCTTCATTACCCTAAATTTTTGCAGCTGCTAAGTGTTTCATAAAAATGGATTTCAAATGCCGCGTACAAAATCTTATATGACATTTTAAAATCTAAAGCTGCTTAACGGAGGATTTGAAAACGCATTAAAGAATGTGTATTCTTGAAAAAATAGCACTGGTTCCACAACGAAAATAACTTTAACTGGCTTAATGCAGAGGTGGGCAACCCGCAGCCCGACACTTGCAATGTTATGGTCCACTGGCTGTATGACAAATGAATTTACTTCTTCATTCCAATAGCGATTATCTTAATTTGTGTCATCAACGCACATTATATATATATATAATAATATATATATATATATATATATATATATATATATATATNAAATGAATTTACTTCTTCATTCCAATAGCGATTATCTTAATTTGTGTCATCAACGAACATTATATATATATAATTATATATATATATGTATATATATATATATATATTGTGTGGACGGTACGCACCATTTCGGCTGAACCTGCCCGCGATTTGACTGACTATGGAGACAATCTGTTTCCCTTATCAGTGTTCGATGTGCACAGAGCGTAAGCATGAAAACGTTTTAAAATATGTAAAATATTTTGTTTTTTTTTGCGGAAATTCTCGTTGAATTTCTTGTTTCGGCTTCGATTTTGGCCGAAAGCCATTTTTAACTTCCAGTCTGGTTTCGGGTTTGGCCGAAAAAAAAAATATCACTCTCATTCGGTCACTAGTCTGATGCTTCATGTAAGAGAAACTTTTCATAACCAAAATCATCGAACAGTCCTGGCTTTCTCTTCTTCCGATTTGATCATGTAAACGTATTTAGGTGAAGAGTATTGATTTTGATAAATTGATTTGCATGTTCACTTAAATAACACGATCATAATGTTTTAAGTGTAAAGTGTGTTTAAGTAAAAATTACTTTGTTTTTCTTTTCTTTTAAAGGCTGTTACTGTGACAGTATGTGTGAATGACGACTATTGTTGTGTGTATTGATTGAACTTTGTGACACATTGTCCTGTGTTTTTTGTAATGTTCTATATAGCTAGACATGGGGAGCTGTTTACATGAATGTTTAAGCTTAACTGTTTGAATATTGGCTGAAGAACTGGGGTTAGTGATCATGTGATGGAGGGTATAAAAACAATGATCTACAAAGGTTAGTTGTTACACAGTCCACACGCTTGAGTGGGTATCTTATAATACAATATAATCAATCCGCCATAACAGCTAGAATTAAATGGAAATGTTGCTTTGGATTGGAAGCGATTTAAGCAGTCATATGAAATTTAAAAGACAGCTAGCGGACTGGATATCAAGAGTAAAGAGGGGCAGTTCATGAATTTCCTGTTTATGATAGAACAGGATGAAACTGATGCTTTCAATACCCTTCAAAGGATAGGCGATAATTGTAAAGAAATTCGAATGAATACGTCTTTTTACAGTTATTTGTATTTTAAAGAAATTAAGAATCACTGCGTAACAAGAAAGAATATAACAATTGAAAGGCATATTTTTTTTTCAACATGTAACAATGACGGAGAAACATGTAGTCGTTTTTTTAACAGATCTCAAACTCAAGGCAAAGCCACTTGAATTCGAAAATCTGAAACACTCGATAAAAAAGGTTAGGAATTGTAAGAAGTATTAAGAGTGACAACGTCAGAGCTCGACTACTTAGAGAGGATAACTTGGCCCTAAATAAGGCATGAATCATATGCATGGCAGCGAAGACAACAGTGTGGTTGCGCAGATGAGTGACGAATGTTATGTTATACAGTGACAACAGATACAGAGATATCAAGAAGACCACACGCAAATACAAAGTGTTACTATTGTGACAAGCAGCATCTAACAAGAAAATGTTCCGCATTCGTTCAAGTATGTCAGGTTGGTTAGAAAACAAATCATTTTGTATGTAGGTCAAATCCTATTAGAGTTGTTACTTACCAGTCAGAGTACAGAGTTGCCTTCAGTGAAGAAACATCCCACATTGCTAATGTTTCCTTGAAAAACACACTTAGCAATGATTGGAAATCTGTTATCACTCTTGAGGGCAGGTAAATGACCACCACACTGAACACTGGAGCGCAGGTGAACATTCTCCAGTACAAATTGATTAGTCAACATCGAAAGAGGGGGCATCAGACGTAAACTGCAAGGCTTACTTCATGCAGTGGTAAAAGAGTTTCTATAGTCGGCAATGCATTGGTCAAATGCACATTAAACGAGACAAACAGAGATGTTTGAATTTCAAATTGTAAAGTCTTTGTACAAGTCTGTCATGGTTCTGCAAGGTTTCCAGAAAATCAATCTTGGATGTGATTGGAGATGAAACATTGTCTTTCTGTTTTAGATGTATTTAGTGGTCTTGGTTCCATGGAAGAAGAATACATTATCAAAACTGACACGCACATTAGGCAAGTGGGACACGCTGGTAGAAAATTTACAGCCGTATTGCGATATGACTTCATGAAATAACTGTATAGTATAGAAAATGAAGGTGTCAAAGAAAAGTGGACCATCCAACTGCATGGGTCACTCGATGGTTATTGTTGAAAAAAAATGTGGTGGTTTAAGGATCTGTCTTGATCCTAGAGACCTTAACACTGCTATTGAACAAGAGCATCACGAATTACCCACCTATTAAGAAATAGCTAGCAGACTTAGAGGCCATAAGGGTTTAACTGTCCTGGATGCAAACTCAGCTTTTTTGGAAAAATAAACTTGATAGAAAATGAACAGATTTTTCAACTTTCAACACACATTTTGGGAGTTTCAAATTTATGAGACTACCGTTTAGACTCAATTCTTCTATAGCAGCATTTACTAAAATGTTTCATTAGGCTTTTGGAAAGTTACATGGGAAGAAAAAAAAACGATGATATATAACAGATCTATAGAAGAACACAATGAAAGACTGAAGAAAACCTTAAAACAGAAAGTAAAGAGGGACGAAACTGAACCCATCCAAATACTGTGTACATGTCAATGGCATTGATAATGAAAAAGCCTTTGTCATCTGAGCCGCCCAGGTTTCAGAGGATGCTTCTAGGACTTAAGACATATGAAATCGTTCTGGCAATGAAAATTTTAATCCAGACACCTTCTCACTACAAATCCCATTAAGGAAATATTCCTCAAGTAATGAATGGGACGCCCAGGTTCCTCTTATAGTCAAAAGTCTACCCATTTCAGGTGAAAAGAAGAAAGTATTACACTAAGAAACAACAGAGTATGCCACTCTGAGAGTTTAAAGGCAACATATTTTAGCAGGATTTATAGATAGAAGATTCGAGATTACACAAGAAATAAGAATTCAAGATTCAAAGAAGAACTAAGGGAAAGCAATAGTTTACCTTCAAAGGAGAACGAGCGAATGATAGCTCCGAGAATATTGCATAAAGAAATGTTGAAGTGAATACATCAAGGACATTTAGGGCGTGATAAATGTTTGGCTAAAGCAAGATAAGTACATTTTTGGCCAGTAATAACATCACAGTTCATAGACATTGTATCTAGCTTCTCAGAAAAGAAATGTTGAAGTGAATACATCAAGGACATTTAGGGCGTGATAAATGTTTGGCTAAAGCAAGATAAGTACATTTTTGGCCAGTAATAACATCACAGTTCATAGACATTGTATCTAGCTTCTCAGTATGCAGTGGGTATCAAAGGTCTCAGCAAAAACAATTCTAATATAGTCTACGAAATAACAAAGCTTCCTCAGGAAAAAAAATGGGGCTGATAATTTGCATTATACTGAAAAAAAAAATACTTACTTTTTGTTGAATACTACAGCAGATTATTTAAATTTTAGTCTCAATCCGTCTCTGAGATCTTCTGATTTGTTATTTCAAATTAGGTCTCAAATTGCTCGCCATGGCATCCCAAGAAAAGTAATTAGTGACAATGGACTTCTGTTTGGCTGGGATGATTTTCTCAACTTCTCAAATCAGTGAAAATTTTGTCTCACCCCTTCAAGTCCCAGATACACACAGTCCAAAGGCATGGCTGAACGAGCAATACAGACTGTAAAGAATCTTTAAAATAAATCTCCAGGTTTTGGGCCAAGATCCATATATTGCCCTATTGCCGTTTAAAAATGCTCCATGCCCTGAAGGACCTACACCTATATGGCAGCTCATGGGCCTACACCCGAGATCAACTGTTCCAGCTACTGATGCCTACCTCAAGCCAAAATAAATGGCCAACATCAAGAACATAATAAAAAACGAGCAAGCAAGATATTACAACAAAAGTGCGAAACTCATGAGCGGACCAAAGATTCATCCTGAGAGCAGTGACCTTATGCAGCAGAGCCCTCGAGGCTAACGGAAGCCAGCAGTAGTTATCAAAGAAGCCTCCACACCAAGTGCATATATTGTCACAACACCAGATGGGATGACATATCGACGTAATCGAAACATGTTAAAAGATACTTTTGACGGGCAAAGCCGTGCTTCAGATGTATTCAAATATGATGACAGCACCGATATAACATATGATTAACAAGTTACCAACACAGAGTTTGCAAAAGAGACTGTAGTGAAAGTGTCGCTACTAAGTGCCATCAATCCTATTCCAGCACAAGTGGTAAACAGATAGGGAAGGCAAGTGAAACCATAGATGAATAGATGGATAGATGGATAGATGAATAGACGGATATATATATAGATATATACTTGGGCTTTTAACCTGAATCCGGCATTTTTAAAGAAAACAACTGGTGAGTCAAAGCGTTACACAAAATAATTTTTACAAAATTAACTTTTCATTTTCTATAATGTGCATTGAAATCTACCGTCAAATCCCCTAGATTTTGTGCACTAACTCCGTCGACCATTTGTTTCAAGAAATAGACCCTTGTCGGGATAGAGTTGACGTTTTACAAAAACCCGTCGACAGAGAAGATACTGTCATTCTTTTTATAACAAATACTTAGGGAAACAGCAGACACAGTATAACGAGATTAGCCTCAACTTCAGTGATATTTTTTTTAAATAAAAAAATAAGGAAAGAACAAAATTTCCACATTTTTACTTCGGTTAAAAAGACACTCGTTGTTTTTTTCATTGAGTGCTACCGATAAAAAACATGACAGGGGTAGGGCCGGTTGTGAAAAGGAAGCAGCCACATCAGAAGCAAAAGATGTATAAGAAAGCGCAATACAGACAGTAAAGAGACACATGTTTACACATATAAATACAAAGTTTCCTGTAATGTGTGTACAGCTTTCAGTGGAGAGAAGTCTGTGGTTAAGTTAAAATTATTTGAACTATCAAAATATTCAGACTTCACTAAATGTATATATTCTTTATCATATGTGCAAATCCATATACAAACATTCATATTTCTTACCGTAGACAGCTGGTAGCTGGACTATCTTGCTGTCAGGATCCACTTTCAATAAAAAGCCTCTGATGCTGGCTTTACTGTATTCTCTAAGAGCTTTAAAAAGTAGGGTAATATGAAATTCTTTTTCCGATCGTTTTTCACAACTGAACTCAAAGTTTTCCTTAACCTTTCTTTGCACACATTCATGTGTAAGGTCAATTGTCACTAACTGAAATACGAAAAAATATTGTTAGCATAAAAGAAAGAACAGTTATATATGATTGTGTATATATATATATATATATATATATATATATATATACATAATATATATATTAAAGTTAAAATCTGTAGTTACATACAGCCGCGGTGGACTGGGCCACAAGGACACCGGAAAGATTTCCGATGGGCCGCTAGGACCGGTGATATAATAAAAATAAAAGTTATGAAGATAGGGCCGCTTTGATTTTTTCCCGAGCCGCTTTGATTTTTTCCCGGGCCGCTTTGATTTTTTCCCGGGCCGCTTGAACTCCCCAGTCCACCCCTGCATACAGCAGAGGAGAAGCCCTAAAACTATTTTGCATTGCCGCGACCGATATTACTTCAAAACAATTCCCGTTATCGTATGTTGATTATAAAATAAATTTCCCTGCACAGTGTGTGTCTACGTGCATTCCTGGAAAATGTCCCCTGCACACTAAATTTGTTGGCATCCTTTATAGGCCATAGGAAAACTGCAGTAGACAGTCTTTTTTTTTTATTAATTGAGACTATGGTGTTTATATCTGTGTTTCTAGTTATATTTTCTCTGATAAGGGGACACTACCAAGGTTACGGCTGCGTGCATGAAGTTAGTGTACACAATACAATCTTACATCATAGTTCAACGCATATTTACACTGCCATAGGGTTAGCGAATTGATTTTGTTTTCAAAAGAAGGACCAGCACATTTCAGCAGAAAGTAGTTAGACAGTAACCATTTAAAATTACACGACAGGCGCTAAGAATAACAATCCGATGCCCAAAGAGCGTTGTATATAATTATTCTCAGGAAACTCCTCGGCATCAGGTGGCAAGACAAAGTCCCTAACACAGAGGTCCTCGCTAGAGGGAAACTACCTAGTATTTTTACCACCCTGATGCAGTCTCAACTCCGTTGTATGGGACACGCAGCCCGTACGGAACACCACCAGCTCCCAAAACAGATATTCTTCGGAGAACTCACGATAGGCAAGCGCTCATTAGGAGGTAAAATAAAAGCGTTAAAAAGACTCACTGAAAGTGGCACTAAAGGCCTTCAGCATCAACCCTACTCAATGGATGCAGACAGCCCAGGACAGAACCGGGTGGAGAGCAGCTGTCAAGAAGGTTGCTAAATCCCATAAAACTAATAGGATAACGACAGCTGAGACACGCAGGCTTGCCCTAAAGAGCAACATTAGTTTGCCGTCTGCAGCAAATATCCCCTGTCTGCGGTGACAGGGATTATTTCGAGCACGAATCGGTCTAGCAAGCCACCTACGAGCTCACCGTAACCCACCCTCACCCTAACCAGATGACTCGATGGTCCTGGTCGACTTCGACAGACGAACAACAACAACTACAATATTGTTATCACGTTTGAAAACAGCTTCATCCTTCTTTAATCGCTTTGTGTTGCATCACTGAGGTTTCTTACACATATGATCCATGCAATGCGCTAGCGAAAAATAAAAACAAAATAATACAACAAAGGGTCATTTGGATAACACACCTTTCAGTTCATCGGGATTCAGAAAATCAAATCTCTAATGTTCTTTTTTTTTTTTTTTTACAAAACTCAAACTATGCATTTACTAAATAATTTAATTGTATAAAGCAGCGGTTCTCAACACGTGGGTCACGACCCCTTTGGGGGTCGCCTAAGACCATCTGAAAACACATATCCTTACAGCTATGAAGTAGCTACGAAAATAATTGTGTGGCTGGGGGTCGCCACGACACTAGTAACTGTATTAAAGGGTCGCGGCACCTGGAAGGTTGAGAACCACTGGTATAAAGTATAACAACAGTCATAATTTTCATTTTTTAAAAAATGAAGATACAATTATACAATAGCCTGTAAACTGGTGTCAAAAATCTCGGCGCATATTTTCGGAAACGGGTGAAAATTGTTTTGTTTTTTTAAGTTTCCCCTAGATAATCTAACCAAAAAATTTTGAGATATCAAGACGTTTTAGATCGTTACAAGTTATGGAAGAATTGTTAGTTCAAACAAAAAAAATTACATGATATCGATTTAAGAAAATAAAAGTGATCTATGTTTTTTTTTTCCACCAGCGACCTTAAACTAGATACTTGATGACCCCATTGAGAGATGGCGACACATAGGAGGGAAGAGATCTCTTAATTATCATTACTTGTTTAAATTTTGATTCCAACTCCTCTTTTATCTCGAAATTGGCATAACCATAGTCTCCAACACTGCGATCCAAAAGGATCACGCTTTTGAGAGCAGATTGGTCGACTCCTCGTAGCACGCCACTTTTACATGTCGTATTTGAATCATTTTGGCTGTAGTCAATCAGCGTTAAGTTATCAGCGTAAACAAAATCTGTGGTAAAGATTAATATATAATTACCATAAAAAGTTTCATATGTCTGAAAATGTATAATTCCTTTAAAATGTGTGTATTTAAGAAAACAAGATTTATTTATCAATACATCCATCCAGCCATGAATATGAGATTCATTAGTTTGAATTTCCATGTAAACATTACTTCACAAAATATAAAGGAAGGGATAGAAAAGCTTGACAATTTTTTTTTCAAGGGGTAGTAGCCAAAATAAAATGATGTCAACAATTATAATTTTCTTAGATATTTACAAATTAAAACCAATAATAGGCTAAGATTATTGTTGAAAATATGTATTCATTTTGATTGCTTATTTTATTTTTTAAAAATCCTTCGAGTCGAAGCAGTATGGGAAATATTATTTTTAATGTCTTATTGTCTGCATAAAATATGCACGATGATTATATACAGTCATTATTTCATATGGATATTTGAAGTTTGTTCACATCATTGTGTTGACAAGTAATTTTTTTTTAAAATACCGCAATTAATTTTTTTTTTTTTAAATTTAGGTTTTAAATAATATTTGTCATAATAATTTAATGTTACTATGGTTTGTCTTATTACATAAAAATAAATTTCTGGTAGCACTCGTAATTATGTTGCTCTATTTATTTAGGGGTGATATTACTGGTTAATATCTTGCTTACTTTTTGTTTGGGGGGGGGGGGTGGTGTGTGGAGAAAATCTGGAAACACCCCTTTATTTAGGTGTCTAGATTTCTGGTTGCATGTACAAAACGTATTGTTTTTACTCTCGTTTAAATCTAAATCTTCTAATATTGTTTTTTCTTTT